ACGAGGTTTTTTCTTACTTTTTTACTATCCTGAAGGTACTGCCAAAAATTCAGATTTGTAAATTAATTTTTTACTTTTAATAAAAAAATTAGAACAAATCCTAAAAAAGTGAAAAAAACTCATAATTTAAAAAAAAATCCAACGAGGTTTTTTCTTACATCTTTACTATCCTTACGAACTCCCAAAAATTCAGATTTTGAAATTAATTTTTAATCTGAGCCCCGACCACTTTTAAAAATAATAGAACAAATCCTAAAAAAGTGAGAAAAAGTCATAATTTTTTTTTCAAACGAGGTTTTTTCCTACCTTTTTACTCTTCTAAATGTACCAGAGTTTTAGATTTTTAAATTAATTTTTAACCTGAGCCGCGACCACTTTAAAAAAAATTGCTAATAACGTCAATCATAAATAAATTAGTATAAACCAAATCTGCAAAACCAGGACAAAACCAGTACACAATTGAAGGGGTCAATGCAAGAAGTGCCTTAGTCACAAATAGGTGATTCTGATATACGATTAAAAAAGAAAAAACGTTTTGTTATATCAAAAAAATATCGAAAAATATATAAAATAATTAGGGACTTTGGGACACTTTTTGTGTTGAAATGTTTTTATTTTGTCAAAAATTAAGGGATATTTTGAGAAAAAATTTGTTTATACTTAAAAAAAGGTTTATTATATTATGACGCCGTAAAAAATATATAAATTGTGAACAAAACTTAAGACTAAGGACTAAGGACATAGCTTAAAGCAAAACTAAGAATATAATAAGGCTGGCTATTCATAAACAGCGTCGGCCTCTTGTAACTGATCAATTTCTTTATCAATGACATCATTTTGCTGGATTATACTTCCATTTTCAGACAAAGTTCGAGCAAAAAAAACGGTAACTGGTATGTTTTAAGGTTCCACATTTTTTTTAATTTTACTTTACTTACCTGCCATAGTTATGTTTTTAATCACAGACACAAATTATTAGGATTTACACAGTTTAATAGGTAATTTGCTCAGATATAACCTAATTTAAATAACATCTGTCAAAATGATGACTCAGGTACTTCTTGCATTGAAAACCAGGTAAACTCCCATTGAAGTAAATGCAAACTAAGGCACTTAGACACATATTTCTGCCACTCCGCAAATACCACCTGAAAGCTGAAGTGAAACACTTTTAGATGTGATGTGACTTAGGCACTTCTTGCAATGACCCCTTCAATTAAAACCAGGACACATTAGGAAAAAACAGGGTCACCTTAACCATCCAGATGCTTCCCCTTGTTTCCCAGTCAAAGACATAAAATAACTAAACTTTTCTCTGGAAAATCTGGTGGCCCGAATAAACCCGGAGATTCTCCCTCAGACCCGAAGAGGTGGTAACCATGCTAGGCAAAAAGAAAATGTTTTAAATTTATCACAGTTTAAATGTTATCAGATGGGACTGGACTTTTAAATTATTTAGTTTTTATCTTACACAGTGATTATGGCCAGGTCGATGTGATATATATGGATTTTCAAAAAGCATTCGATCAAATTAACCATGAAGTTCTTTTACAAAAACTCCATGCTTGCCCTAGTTAGATCATATCTCAGTGATAGATCCCAATATGTTGAGGTTGCCGGGTTCCAATCCAGTAGCTACATTGTAACGTCCGGGGTTCCCCAAGGTTCAAACTTGGGTCCCTTACTTTTTGTCCTTTTTATTAACGATCTTATAAGTTCCATAACCGTCAACAAGCTAGCATTTGCTGATGACTTAAAGCTTTTTAAAAGGATTGATACCTATGATGACTGTGTGATATTGCAAGATTCTATTAACAAAGTAAATGAATGTTGTAAATCATCAAAATTAATGTTAAATTTTTCTAAATGTGTCGTGGTTTCATATACCAGGAAAAGAAAAATCATGGAATTTGGTTACAGCATTGCTAATAATCAATTAAGGCGAATTGAGGGTGAGAAAGACCTGGGTATACTATTTGATAAACAATTTTCATTTACTAACCATATTATCAATGTGGTTTCGGGTTCCTTTAAAACTCTTTAAGAATAACAAATGCTTAATCTTTCTTTTTAATTCGTTGGTTAGAACTAGGCTTGAGTATGGGTCCTTAATTTGGTTTCCCATTTATGAAACCTACATTTGGGTCCTGGAATCTAACCAGCGTAAGTTTTTAAAGTACCTTACCTTTAAAGAGGATCGCGTATACCCTGAAAGAGGAATAGATTATTCTATTTTGCTTGACAGGCACAACATGATTTCGTTGAAAATGCGTAGAGTTGTGGCAGCGATTTCATTCTTGTACAATCTTTTCAATGATAAAATTGACTGTCCATATTTACTAAATTGTTTAAAATTTAACGTACCCAGATTCAACTCCAGAAATAATGTTTTATTTAGAATTTATACTCCCCGTACTAATATGCTACGTCGCGCACCTGTGTACAACATGTGCTCTTTATTTCATAGTTTTTGCTACAACTGGGATATTAATTTTGATACCTTAAAGTCTTTAATAACATGTTTGTGATTAATATACAATGTATCTGTATATACAGGGTGTTATGTAATTAATGTTATATATTAAAATACTGAATACCTTTTGACATAAGGAATAAAGGAAAAATATTTAAAAAAACATTTTTCCAAAGATAAAGAAAAAATATGCATTAGAAATGTTTTATATTTTTTGTGATACGCCACTGGTCACACACTTGTTTATCTCTGCACACCTGTATTTTCTGAGTACATAGATACCAACCAACAAAGTAGCTAGGCGTTGCCAGATGTAAAAAATTGTTACTAAAAATTTTTCTTGCAAAAAATAAATAAAAACTCAATAAATACAAAAGTTTTATGCCCTTAAAGCTCTAATACCCTTCTGTATTTATTTACTGATCCAGCTTTTAGCTTAAGCAATGATTAGAAAATTTAGTACCTTTGAAATTTGAAATCCATAACCACAAAATTAATTTTTTCATCAGTTTTTTTCTCTGTTTACTCAGATGAAATTGGGACCAGTTCACAGGTTAAACTTTAAACATTTAATTTGTGTAAATAAATCCAAAAGCACTTCCCTTAGTTAAGATATTTACAATTTGAAAACATAACCTAAAATTTAAAAGAAATGCACTAGATTCTGTCATAAAATTTGGCAGATTTTGTTTGAATTTACCTTCAGTACAAAAATGAAATAACCAACAATTAATAAAAACGCCAAATTGACAATTTGCATTGTTAATTTTGTCATTTTTGTGATTAAGCTAAATTTAAACAATGCTTGGCAACTTTTTTGAAAGATTTTGGAAAAACTGTTGTTACCAACCATAACATAATAAATCCACCAGATTAACCTAAAGTTCCTAGTCGATCAGTGGCGTACTTTTTGGTAGGATAAAGGTTATTATAAATTATTAATTACATAACACCCTGTACATATATATATGTATATATTTTTTTTTCTTTGTAATCATACTTGCTATTTAACTTTTTTTTTATGTTATATCTTTAATAGGGTGATTTATTTCCGCAAAGTTTTTGTTTTCTTCGGTGCTCAAGAAAAATATTAATCTGCATATAGAAAAAAAAATTCTCAACAAGTTTGAGCTCTTAATATAAATTTTAAGTACTTACTATTTAAATTTAAGTTTTACATACCGTTTAAAATGCATGTAAAAATATATATATTTTTTCAAATTTCTAATGCTTACCCACCTTTGACAATATTGCAAATCGGTTTAATACACCTTATGGGGAATTTCACGCTCTTTAAAATTGCTTTTGAGTTTTTTTTTGTAACTCGCATTGGTTCACCAGTAGGAGTCGTCAAAGGACAGTTTTTGAAAAAATTTTTTTCTAACAAACCGCAAAAAGTAGGGAGAAAAAAGGGCTGAATCATAAAAAAAGTTATCCAACCAATATTTAATGAATTAATTCATTAAATATTGGTAAATTTACAGCCATTTTTATAACTGAAAACGTAATAAATTGATAATTACCAACTCATAATGTTATTTAGATTGATTTTTTTTCTATTTATTATCATTATATTTCCCTACACTAAGATGTTTTTTAAAATTATTGATTTCTCACTTATAATGAATATGAAAACAACAGATAAATTCATAAAAAAAGAAAAGAAAATTGTAACGTGGATTTTGCAATTTTTCAACATTTCTGTCATATAGCAATTAAATATAAATGAAGATTATTTAATTTTTTGAAGCGAAATTTGAAATATGTTACATAACCTTCTGTATATTCCGATTAAAGTTTTGTTGTTTTTTTTATGAATTTATGTGTTGTTTTCATATTCATTATGAGTGAGAAATCATAATAATTTTAAAAAGTTCTTAGTGTAGGGAAATATAATGGTAATAAATAGAAAAAATCAATCTAAATAACATTATGGGTTGGTATTTTTCAATTTCTTACGTTTTCAGTTATAAAAATGGCAGTAAATTCATTAAATATTGGTTGGATAACTTTTTTTTATGAATCAGCCCTTTTTTCTCACTACTTTTGGCGATTTGCTCGAAAAAATAAAAAAAACGATTTTTTTCAAAAACTGTCCTTTGACGACTCCTACTGGTGAACCAATGCGAGTTACAAAAAAATCTCAAAAGCAATTTTAAAGAGCGTGAAATTCCCCATAAGGTGTTTTAAACCGATTTGCAATATTGTCAAAGGTGGGTAAGCATTAGAAATTTGAAAAAAAAATATATTTTTTACATGCATTTTAAACGGTAAAACTTTAAATTTAAATAGTAAGTGCTTAAAATTAATATTAAGAGCTCAAACTTGGTGAGAATGTTTTTTCCTATATGCAGATTATTATTTTGCTTGAGCACCGAAAAAAAACAAAAACTTTGCGGAAATGAATCACCCTAATCTTTATCTTAACTTTTCTTGTTTTTACATTTCCTGTAATTGGGTGTATTCCTGTAGGAAATAAAGTTTATTATTATTATTATTATTATTAAATTATTAATTTTTTATGCAGGGAGGTTCAAAGGACGGCAGGGGTATCAACGACGGATTTGGTGGGCAGGATGCTGTTATTAACCAGGAACCATTTCCGACAAGGTCAGTATGAGTACGAGGTTGCGAAGGATCACTCCTCCAACTTGGGCCAGGACTCATCGGCTCGATCTCCTTGGACAGGTTGTTCGCAGTTTTTGCCGACCACGCAGAAAATCATCCAGTTCTCGAACGGACAGGCGCCGAATCCGGGCGACAAAATCGTGTACGTGGCCGGCGCGTTTGATCTGTTTCACGTCGGACACCTGGACTTTTTGGAGAAGGCCCAGGAACAAGGCGACTACTTGATCGTAGGGTTGCACACCGATCCAGTGGTTAACAGATACAAAGGGAAAAATTATCCCATCATGAATCTGCACGAACGAGTTCTTAGCGTTCTGGCGTGCAAATATGTTTCAGAGGTTGTAATCGGCGCCCCCTACAAAGTCACAAAAGACTTGATGGAGCACTTCAAGGTGGCGATTGTTGTGCATGGGCAGACAAAAGTGATGGAAGATGAAGATGGCGAAGATCCCTTCAAATATCCCAAAGAAATCGAGAAATTTGCCACACTAGATTCGGGAAATACCATGACGACGGAAAAAATCGTCGAGCGTATAATAAGAAACCGATTGGAGTTTGAGGAGAGAAATAGTAAAAAGGAAAAAAAAGAACTCGAAATTCTCAGCAGGATGGAGAACAAAACTGTGTAAAGCGTATTCTTTTGAAAATGGGTATTGGCAAGTACAAATTTTTAATTATAGCTTTTTGTATAAAATTGTACAAACTTAAACGAACTAATATTTATTTTTTGCATTCCAAAGTTTATCCAGATACAAATTAAAGCTAGTCATGTGAATCCTACGATTTATGCCAAATTATTTGTGCTGCAGTGCTTGCCTAGTCAGTAACCAACTAATCGAATTTTATTTTTTTAGAAACTCTCTACAAGCATTTAAAACTAAGATTTTTCTAATCCTGTTGTATATAGGATGCTTTATTGAAATTTTATCCTACTTTTATATTTTATTGAAGAAAAAGAATAGTAATCTTCTTACTATTTTTAAATTTATTATTTTATCCATTGTATATTACTTTTATTTTATTTTTTATATAGAATTCTATTGTAATAAATTAGCTTTATATTTTTTACTTTTTATTTATTTTTAAAATAAATTTTATCACGCATTTGACTTAATAGTTTAGTTGTTTTATCAACATTGTTAAATTTATGTGTAGCAAACAAATTAGCTAAGGTAAAATGTTACATACTTAATTGATGTTGAAGTAAGTGCGTTTGTTATTTGTATAAAAAATAAAACCTTGACAATAATTTAAGGTTTTAATTATCATAAGAACAAATATTTTTATTATGCAAAAATATATTTGTTTTAAATGTAAATAAATACTTAAAATATTATTAAATGCATTTTTATTTTTTATATTCTTTTTCAAATTTAACTAAATTTTAGTAGTGGTTATTAACTACTAATCCTGAAAAGGATTTTGCTTCATTACCTCTGGTTTTCAAATTGCAAAGTATAGTTTTCCTTACACAACTTTAAAAAAAATATTCCATACGTTTATGGGTCGGAATTTGTGAAATCAGCACGATAAAAATGGCTATTATTGTTTTTTGTCGAATTGCTGAAAAAACTGTATTTAACCATAAAAATTAGTCGACCAATTTTTTCTTTTAATTTCAATTTTTAGCAAAGTTAATGTCTAATGAAATTTTTGGTAACTTTTCAAACAAAATGTAGTTATTTTTGAAAAGATAAATCGATTATAATGCAACTTTGGCAAAACAATATTTTTTTATAATAATTTTTGTCAAAGTTTTTAAAACGTTAGTTTTTTTCGTGTTCTGCACCTTTTATCTATTGCCTTTTAAAAATGTACAAAACCTCAGGGCGCGCACTAATCTCGAGCGCATTTTTTAAGACCTTTTTACTTAATCCAGGGATGATTAAACAAAAAAAAACTTTTTATCAAAAAAATAGTCTTTTACATTTTTGCTTTAATCATTTATTATGTGAATTGCAACTGTATCATGATTTTTTTATTCTTAGTGAATTAAAATATATATCAAGAACATTATTTAATGGTGCACATACTTGATAAACAAATAAATTAATAACTAAATGGTATAAAAACTAATAAACAATTTTTTGAGAAAATTGAGATTAATAAATCATTGAGAACAGCATTATTATATATTATTACTATAAATATATATATATGTTACGGCTAATGTGCAAACTTGGATAGTTTATAAACTAGCTGGATAGTTTATAAACCAGCCAAACTGTCAGCTATTTTAATTGAAAACATATTTTCAACTAAATTAGCGGCTAGTTTACAAAATAACCAAGGATCTTAGCTAATTTACTTGAAATTATTAGGGAAACTAAAATAGCTGGATAGTTTGTATACTATCCAATTCAGTTTGGCTAATATGAAAACCAAAATTTCTAGTAACACAGAATAGCCAAGCTTTAACCAACCAATGCTCTGGCTAATTTATTAAAAAAGTGAGGTTACGGCATTGTTTTTCGTTTTGCCGGCTTAACCGGATTTGTTTTGTGAATTTTAACGTTTTTAAAATGAATCATTGGCAAAATTTTAACGCTTCCTTGTTAGAAAATGGTCAAAAATGAGAGAAAAAAACCCAAACCACCCCAAACTCAACAACACAACCCAACCGACCCCGCCCTATTGAGCAAAAAACCCAACTAAAATGGGCAATAGCCAGAGAATTAGTTGGTTAGTTTACAAACTAGCTAAAGCTTGGCTATTTTGTGTTACTAGAAATGTTGGTTTTCATATTAGCCAAATTGAATTGGATAGTATACAAACTAGGGGAGCGCCGGGAGGGTTTGGACACTGGGAGGCATGCATTGGACACATTCATAATTACCGCCTAATTAAAGAAAGGGTGAAAACAGAAACGTAACTAAAAGCGCATTTGAACGTCCCTGATATCTGTCTAGAAGCGAAGCAATCACGTCTTTTCGTTTCGCGGCAATGCCATTTTCATATTTATCCACCTGTTCATTCCAATATTACCAGTTGTAAACTCTGTTTTTAACAAACTAATTTTGAGATTTTTTGGTTGCTTGATTGATTACCAGTATAAGGAAAACTTTAAAAATTATAGGGTATTGTTACTTTGAAAATGTATATACATAATTTATAATATTTTGGGTTTTATTAATCGAACTACGTTGCGGGAGGGTATGGACGACCGTCCAAAGAAGTCGTTGTAGATAGCTATAACGTGAAATTAAAAAAAAAAACAAGTGGCTTCCAACCACAGCATTTGTGTCATATGAGGAAGTGATTTTGAAACTATCAAATCCTTTAACAGACCGAAGTGTCAGATATGGACATGATATATTTTAATGTTGATGTTACCGAGTACAGCTTACGTTAATGCTAAAGTTATTGATTAATAAACAATTTTTTACTAAATATTTTATTTGTTTTTAAAGTATTTTTTGTCAAACAAATGTTTTGCATAATATATTTGCTTAATTATTGTTTGTCCAAACCCTCCCCATCGTTGGGGAGGGTTTGGACATAATACATTAAAAAATATATAAGTATTTATTTCATGCCTATGTCATGTTTTTTCAAAAAACAAAAGAAAACTGTATGTAAGAGACATGTATCAACCATGGTTGATACATGTCTCTTACATACTGCAGTCTGACTACAAAATTTTAGTTATTTTTTATACATGTCCACGCCATAATTATTTATTTAAATATTGTCCAAACCCTCCCGGCGCTCCCCTATCCATCTATTTTAGTTTCCCTAATAATTTCAAGTAAATTAGCCAAGATCCTTGGTTATTTTGTAAACTAGCCGCTAATTTAGTTGAAAATACATTTTCAATTAACCCGTAACCGGTACGGTACGACTTTCAGGTCATAAACGGTACTAAGGGGTCTGAGAGACACCTGCCTTTTAAAATTGTTAAAATTGTAATTTATATTATTTTTTTTTATCTGAGGCTTTGGGGATACTAGGAACTATATATAAAGTTAGAATATCACCAAAAATAATACCTAAATAAAATAAAAATTTAAACAAATAGGTTTTAATCAAAACATGTAAAAAAAGTGCAGTAGTGCAAACTTTCTGATTAAACTATAAAAAATATTAAACCAAACAAAATAAAACGATCTTTATTTCGAAGAATATACCTTAAAAAATAACATAAACAAAAAAAATTCAAATATATCTTTGTTTAGCAGCAAAAATAACTGCTTCAAACTATAGATGATTTTTACAATTATTTTTTCCATAGTAACTTTTTTGTTTTTTCAAATTCTTAAAAAATTACAAATTCTTCACTATCTGACCCTATCAAATTATTTTCTATAGCCTCTTCACAGACAAGTCCTGAATCGCTGCTGTGATTATCTTCAACGACATAATCACTATAATCACCATTATGGTTATGTAGTATACTACAGTCATCTATAGATGACTTATATCGCTGTCGATTTCATAAAACCACTACATTACAGTTTCCTTAAAGCCCCCCTTATCACTTTGGACACTTTTAGAAGTCCCTTGTTGCGAATCCATAACGAATTAATTGTTTTATAAAAATTACGTAAACGGTACTCAGTGGTCTACTAGACACCTCAACACTTTGACTTGTAATAATTTGTCCGTTTGACAATCCAACTTGTTCAAAGTCTGAGAGCATATTGATAACTGCTCAACTTAAAAGTATTGGAAGCGACAGATTTTTAAAACAAAAGGTTAGGGTGGGACAGGGCTTTGTTCGTTGATGAGTGTCTCCCAGACACCACAGTACCGGTTACGGGTTAAAATAGCCGACAGTTTGGCTAGTTTATAAACTATCCAGCTAGTTTATAAACTATCCAAGTTTGCACATTAGCCGTAACATATATACAATATATACAATTTTAAAATTTATTATTGAAAAAATTGTTTTTTTAGCTTTTTCATGTCCTTGAGCAATTAATTTTTTTTTAAATAAGAACAATTAAACAAAGCTTGATTCTTTGGATTAAAAACCATATAAGTAACTTTAATATATAATGGGATGGAAATCAATTGTCAAGGTTTTTAATTGTTTGATGAGTTAAAATGCAGAAGTGTGTTATCTGTTATCATACTTTGAAAGGTATCATGAAAGGTATATGACAGATAACTCACTCCTAGGAGTGGAAATTGTTTTAAGGATTATCAACTGTTTAATGCACTGAAGCGCAGCTGCGCTTCAGTGCATTAAACAGTTGATAATCCTTAAAACAATTTCCATTCCATTATTAAACTTACATAATCAAGCATGAGCTTAATATTTTTTAAGCATTTTTTGAAAAAAAAAATAATAAATAAGATTGAGAAAGTGACATTTTTTTGGTGGTACATTTGGTCAATTTTGCCGTTTGTATGGATTTATATTAAATAAAAAGCCTATGTCATTTGTCATACATTTAATTGATAATTCATATTCAGTTAAAAAATACCTTTGGTTATATAAAGTCTTTCTTAAAATTACTTCATTAAAATAGTTTATTTTTAGTCTTTGACAATAAAAATATAGCTTATGTAAAAAATAAATATGTAGGTGTAACCTGCAAAAAATATAGACAAAAGTCGATAATAATAAATACTTAGTAAAATTTTATCACTAAAACATGCAGTTAAAATAATATGGATATTTTATGGTGTATAAACATATTTTTCTAAAATTAAAAACAAATTGGTCTGATAAAATTATGGTTGTATGTATACAAAAAGAATGGTTTGTTGACCCAACCTAGGAGTGTTACAAAAAATTATTTGGCCATAAAATCTGAACCATCCTTTCTGCAAAGGGACATTACAGTCCCTGGCCAATTTTCTTTAACTTTTAAAATTTATAGTTTATATCTTAAAAAAAAAATTTTTTTTGAAACAAAATTGATTTTATTAATAGTCTGCGTTAAAACATAATTTTACGATAAAATTGAAATTAAAAAAGTCATAAAAAATCAATACATAATACAGAATTTTGGCTTCAAAACTAATTTTTGCAATTTAATCATAAATATATGTTATAGTCCTAAAAATCGTTTTTAACGGGATTCAATTAATTTTGTAGTTCAAACATGCATTTTTGGGAGAAGGTATTGACTATTTTGCAACCTTTCAGAAAATTTGCAAGTCTAATAAATTGGCCAGGGACTGTTACAGTAGTAGTAGTATCATTGTTTTTCCAAAACTACTTATTCAATATGGATTATTAATACAAATATACATCACATGCTTAATTCCTAAAAACCTACAAACAATATTGCATTTTAGGAATCATATAATACTAAATAAAAATCCAATTATTTTTAAATCATTAAAACAAGTATGCTAAATGGCAAAATATCACTTTAAATTTTTATTGTATTTTGCCTTTTACCAAACAATTAAAAAATCAGGTATCTTAATTTTAATGTTGATTTAAGCTTACTGTTAAATTAAAACCTTCATATTTAGAATCTCATGTAAAACTTTTGGCCGTGTATCAAAATATTATTTAAAAATTGTAAAAGTGTGTGTGGATTATCGTTGCACGCAGTTTGTGCGTTGTTACTTCAGATCGAAACAAAAATGGTAGTGTGGCGGATCAGGGGGAATTGGTGGGGGATCCTGTGGGATCGGAACGCCCTCTGCATCCAGTAGTCGTAATTTAATCTCCATGCTTAATAACGTGTCCAGATCTTTTTCCGTTTCTTTGCTTTGCATTCGGGTGCCCATCAATGCGTTTATGCCGTCTGTCCAGTAGGCCAAGGCTAACTCGTCCGGAGCGACGCAGTCCAGTGATTGTAGGTCCATTCCTGTAAAAATAATATTTTACACTACACTAGAATAAAACAAAATTTTCAAAATTGTGTAATATTTGCAAATATTGTAAAAATGATAGGAAATATTTTCCATCATTTGCCCTGATATCATAGGGCTAAATAAATAAAACATTTTTATTTTACGTGTAAGAGCGCTGCAAATCTAGTAATAAAAATAGTGGGTCAGAATTTCTCAAACGGGCCACCTGAATTAGGTCAAAATTAGTTTTTGATTGTAGATACATTTTTTCGATAGTATTTTACATCACTAACACAAATCCTAAAGGATTTTGTAAAAAAAAAATTTTCAATTGACATATTCATGATATTAAAAGTAAAAGTTTTTAGTAATTAAAAAATAAAAAAAAATCATTATGGCTAAACTAATTATCCGATTCCAACGATTTAACTAGCGTTGGAATCTTGTTTTGACATAGATTCTTTGTTATTTTTTTCAATTGTACAATTTTCATTTAGGTCGATTTTTTTTTGTTTTTTTTATAACAAATTCGGAAATAATTGGCTTCTGCGCTAGCTATCGACTCGAAAAAAAAAAACACATATACTCCAATCATTTTTCGAAATTATGCTGATGAGAAAAAAAATGGCCCGCAGGTTCCAGACCACCGTAAGACGTCGCGTCACAAGCGCGTACAGCGTACACGGTTCGGAGCGTGAGCTGACACCGCGCGCGGCCACAAAAGGACGAATAACTTTTTGTCAACCTGCGGGCCATTTTTTTTCTCAGCAGCATAATTTCGAGAAATGATTGGAGTATATGTGTTTTTTTTCTCGAGTCGATAGCTGGCGCAGAAGGCAATTATTTCCGAATTTGGTATAAAAAAAACAAAAAAAAATCGACCTAAATGAAAATAGGACAATTGAAAAAAATAACAAAGAATCTATGTCAAAACAAGATTCCAACGCTAGTTATATCGTTGGAATCGGATAATTAGTTCAGCCATAATGAATTTTTTTATTTTTTAATTATTAAAAACTTTGACTTTTAATATCATGAATATGTCAATTGAAAATTTTTTTTTTACAAAATCCTTTAGGATTTGTGTTAGTAATGTAAAATACTATCAAAAAAATGTATCTACAAACAAAAACTAATTTTGACCTAATTCAGGTGGCCCGTTTGAGAAATTCTGACCCTAGTATAATCCATATAGGTAATTCACAACCAATTTACCTTCATGGCCCTAATATAACAGTAAAGATGTACAATTACCTAAGTTAAAATATAATATATGTAGGCGCCCTTATTAATTATTGGTGTACGCTCATGATTCTTTTTCACCCTTTTGTTTATTTTTGTTGATAAGATTTGTGTGACGATGTTTAGGCTAAACAAAAAGTCCCAAGTATGTGGAGAATGTCAATTTCCTCGTATTGGGTGTTTATGATTAAGTCTAACACTAATACGATACATTTATTTTAGTTGATATGATTTATGTGAATTTGTCTAGACAAAATAGTTATAGTTCTTTAAGACGTAGAAAATATGTTAGGAGGGGTAAAAGGTTTTTTTAAGGGAAACCGCTTGGCGATAAGCTTAGCGAACGAAACGAGCCTAGAGTGTTCTTGATTCTTCTTATGACAAGTTGAATCTCTGAATTGATTTTTGATTGACTATTGTTGATCTAGCGGGTCGCGGATCGTTGGTTTCTTCTTTATAGCTAATAATTAGTTTGGGACTATTATTATTAATTTTGTGTTCTGTGCGGATTTATCTGACTACGCGTTTTATTAAATAACTTTATATTAAAAACCAGTGTCGTGCATTCTTATAAAATGTCCAGGCAGCCTAACCCTCAGTTGCCCTCGTTAATCTCTGACATACTGGGTGTCCGGGAAATGGAGGTCAATCCGTTAACCATATATTCCTTGAGTTAAAACAATAAGACTTTCATAATACCATTTTTCAATTTAGGGCTTCATGTTCGATATACAGGGCGACAAAGTTTGAAATTTAAAACTATTTTTTTTTTAATAATTCGAGTAATTGATAAGATACTAAGTTTAAATTCGGTACACTACTTCAACATAAATAGTTACATTTTTTGAGACCAACAAAACAAAAAACAATTGTCAAATAATCAAAATAGGGGGGTCCAGTACTCACTGACTCCCCCTATTTTTTAGTACGTGCGCCAATGACTTCCAAACGGAATTTTTTCAGGTAATCATTTATTGTTGAAAATGTTTTGTCTCTTATAAAATTTTGATAAAATGATTTGTTTTAGAGATAATTTGTAAAGTATGGGTCAGTCCATATCAAATTTTCAAAATTTAATTTTTTTTTTGAAAAAATGTAGGTCATGTGATATATCATAAAAAAGTTCTCTAATAGGCCTTTAAAATAAGCCATCACTCACCTTTCTACTTTTAATAGTTTACGAGATATCGCTATTTTTGTAAGTACTTGCAAGACCCAAATTTATCGGAATTTTTTGATTTTCAAAAATCAATAAAACAAAAACCACCTATCGAAAAAAATTCCTATATTGGATTTTTGAGTTTTTTTAGTGAGGTAAACAAATTTACCAAAAATGATCAAAATCGGAGATGGTGGGGGAAGAACCTTTGGTTGATTTGATATGGACTGACCCATACTTTACAAATTATCTCTAAAACAAATCATTTTATCAAAATTTTATGAGAGACAAATTTTTTTTAACAATAAATGATTACCTGAAAAAATACCGTTTGGAAGTCATTGGCGCACGTACTAAAAAATAGGGGGAGTCAGTGAGTACTGGGCCCCCTATTTTGATTATTTGACAATTGTTTTTGGTTTTGTGGGTCTCAAAAAATTTAACTATTTATGTTGAAGTAGTGTACCGAATTTAAACTTAGTATCTTATCAATTACTCGAATTATTAAAAAAAATCAGTTTAAAATTTCAAACTTTGTCGCCCTGTATATCGGACATGAAGCTCTAAATTGAAAAATGGTATTATGAAAGTCTTATTGTTTTAACTTAAGGAATATATGGTTAACGGATTGACCTCCTTTTCCCGGACACCCTGTATATAATACTTTGGAATCACATTTGAGAATAAAGAAAACTTTAATTTATCCCCATTCCTGTCAAGGAAGAAAATAACACAGCCACTTTAGAGGACTTACATAAAACATTTGATTTCACGAGAGCGGAATATGCAATTCCAAACGTGTTTCAGACTATACTTTTTCTACGTTTCTAAAAAATACTACAGAAAAGTAATTTAATTGGCAGAAAGTGAGGTTGGATCGGTCTAAATTTGTTAGATATTAAACACAGAGATGTCGCCACCAGTGTTTATTCCGTCATCCAATGATTCTTTCTTTAATACTTTCAGGAATGTATGTCATTCAACATTAAAAAGTGATATTAGAACGGTCATATTCCGTAATAGGAGTAGAAAAAATATTTTATTGAATCATTAAAAAACAATAATAAATTAAAAAACATAGTTAAGTAAGAATTTCTCCAACTGATCCCCCAAAACCCGTTGCAACCCATTTATTGTTATATTATTTCGAGTATTCTACTAAAAATGGATTTGCAAAAATATTTTGTAATTATCAATTATTTTTTACACTTTTTATTTACTGTTCCGGTTTTAATTATCTAAACTGTTTTTAATTTGTTATTTACTTGCAGTTTTATTAATTTTTTTCTTGATTTTAAATATTGCAATTTATAAAAAAATCAGAGTAGCAAAAATAAGGTAAGTCATAATTTCTAAACCACCTAATCAATGAGTATGAATATGGAATTCCCGGAATTTTTCGCCGGGTCGGGCCATACGCCCAATTTAGGCTAGTGGATTGCGGGACAAGGAGGGAAATCATGTTGGTTTTCGGAGGACATTAAACTGACCCAAAACTAGGCACAATCCGGAATCCTCCTCAACCAGGGATTTAGTAATAGACCCATAAGGATTCATGAATGAGGCTTGGTAGTTACTAACTACTAGTTAGTATGTTGCTAGGACCTATCCTTGCTGGTCTTGTAGTACTTTCCGTTCGTTTGCGTCCGTGTCTGTTGAAAATTACCATGCTGAAATTCGGAAACCGCTGTACGCCAATTGTCTGCCCCACTGTGCGAAACCATTTCTTCAGTCTAGAGGTCGAAAACTATCGATATATAGTTTTCAGTAGTCGGCCATGTAACTACCGATAGTTAACGATAGTTTGTTTTGTTTTTTTATGTTTATAACCGCAGTAATGCAAAATTTTCTAATAATTTCTAGTTATTGTTTTGTACAAGCACGTTTTGTGATTTATATTTTCGTTTTTTTGTTCTTTTCTAACAATAAGGTATTGCATTTATTTATTAAGTTAAACAAATGGTAAGCGCAATCATTCTTATACTATGTAGGCTCTCAGAAGACTATTACTTTTGTTCCACAGATTGGGGTTTATTTGTTTATGTTTTTGTCAGACGATCCGAAATTGGTTTCGAGTGTTACCTACTTAAGATTTATGGGTTTATTAACTTTCAAGTCACGTCCTTTGGTCGAATATACTTGTTTTTAAGTCGAACTTAATTGTATGGTTTATTATTTCCTGTTCACCTAATTTGATGTTTTTTTTAAATGTATTTTTGTTGTTCCTACGGTTTTTTCCTCTTGAGAAGGTAGAAACCCGGAGGCTTTGTAGGCTTGGTGAATTACGGAATTACAAGTAGTATTGCGAATAGCGTCGTGCAAATATTAATATAATACTTATCCGAATTTTGCCGATGCTCCTTGTTTCCTTGTGATTGATCTCTTTTCCACTACATTGAACCACCTGTTTTTAGGTGGGTGGCAGGGGTGACACTATACCTTAGAACAAAAAACAACAGGAAGGAGTCTTGCCATTCTTTAGCCGTACTAAAATTACGACGGAAGTCGGCCATTTGCAAGCTCCAAATTATGACACATTTGTGATGCTATATTTGTCAAAATTGAATGTTTTATGTGTTTGTCGGTGTTTTATGTTGTTTTTCTGGTTAAATT